TTGTTGTCGTGTGTGTGTCTGTCTATATATATATATATATATATATAGGCTCATATACTATGTAGAACCTTGGCTCGGACCAATGACTATGATAATACTTTTAAGGAATAAGTGAATCTCTTATCATAACCAAGGTTCTATACAGTCAATGGCTCTGATGCCATTGATGGTGTAAGCTCTCAAATGGTTTGTCCCATCGTATCCATCTGCGTAAGCATTTGGGCATAGAGTGTTCATGACTTTATAACAGATCCTATAAACAAATGCTAGGTTTTGGGATCTAGGATCCATATCAAAACCTTGAGTTTTAATATTTAAAGTTGAAACCTTTAATAAATTAAGATCATATAGAGCCACAAAAAATTTGAGAAACAATTGAAATAGATAGTACCATTGCAAAGACTTGATTCAATGATTCCTAATCAGGAATCAGTGAATCTCCTATGCCGATTATCCCTCAAGTAAAGCAAAACAAAATTATTTAATCATGTTCTAGTCAAAGGCTTTACAGCTATTTGAATAAGGCCAATATGCGGATAGTTAAAATCCTTCCTCTTATGCTCCTCAATCATCCTTGACGATAAAAGTTGGAAGCTATCTTGAGTTTCCATTATCGAAATAGTTTTTTCCATAGTCTTAATTAGAAAACTTCTTTTGAATTCAAAAGTCCATCTTTTATAAACATATATTATAGGAACCTTTGCGATATTCCAATTTTGGATTTGTTTTTCGATATTGTCAATGATTACCTCTTCTTTGTTATTTACACAAAGAGTGCTAGCCAATGTTGTCCTACTTGATAGTGTTTTAATAAAATTCGTCATACTAGATCTTATGGCCTTGGTCCGAGTCAAATGGGAACAGTCCCTGCACCTTGCTTACCTTCCTGGCTTAACGGTGGTCTGTGGGTCACAACGACTTTAGATTTGACTATAATATCTAGTTTGCTAATTTTATACAGTTCACGATTGTGTAGAACCTTGGCTCTAATACCATTGATAGCGAATACCGAGTTTTATAAAAAAAATTCCTAACAACTAATAAAACAGACGCTGATAAGCAATATTTAAGACTGAATAATAATAAACAAACAAACTTTTATAAGGAATAAACAAACTTACATGATAGATGCTTGACACAGACTTTGATGAGCAGATACTCCATCAGATATACAGCGTACGATGGAAACATATCACTCGAAAACACTCTCTAGATATACTCAGAGTACTTACAATATACTTATGGCACACTGATACATTCAAAACACACTTACAACACTCTTATGAAGCACTCAGACTCTTCTCTTTTTCGAATGCCCTTATTTGGTAAGGCTTTCCCCCTTTAATAAACATGAGGCAGTCGGACTTGAATGGGTTTCAAATCCGCTCAATAATGCATCGACACATTTAAATAATGCACCGACACCTTTTAGAATAAAAGAGTGCCACATATGTTATTGCTACAGTAAGAGACTGTCGGTGGCTACAGTAAAAAAAAACCAACTTTGTTTTATTGTGGGTGTTTTAGGGACACGTGTCCTGGTTAGGATTTGGAGTCATACCATCCCTTTGATATTTTGATCAGATTTACTTAGATAGATGGGGAAAAATCCCTCCGCAGTCATTACCATTTGGAGGACTATAATCATCATCTTCTTTTTCGTTGATGTGGACATATTAACATTATCTTCTTCTAGAGCTAGTAGTAACTTTTTTTGTAAGCTCCATTTTTGATAATTTTGGATTTTGTTGTTGCATGATTGCAACATATTTTATTATATTCATATTAGAATTTTGCAAGGAGGAGGGTATTAATTTTATTTAATTTTTGTTTGGATCTAGAGATTTATTTTTATAACTATCTCACCATTTTTCCAATATTTGTCGGTGTAGTTCTTGGATAAAGTTCCATCTGTTTCCTCGTCCTCTGAGATCTGGTATGTCCATTTAAGGATCCAAGGGACCTGATATAAAGACATAAAATATGTGGTAATTTCTATTTAAACACTGTTTATTATAGTCAGAGAATTTTCTCTGTGATATTTGTAATTTTGAATGGAGTATCTAGTCGCAAGATCCCCATAGGAGGAACTAACTTTTAAACCAGTTAGGGAATTCTTCAAAGTCAGTTATCTTAAACTATACATACCAACTAGGTGAATTCTTGGTATTTTGATAGGCAAATGTCTTATCCCATGCTTTTATATATTGGAAATAGTAATAGTATCTAATTTTAAATCCTTTAGTAGTTAGCATCCCTAGTTTTAAAAGATCAATCCCCAATCTCTATAAGATATAATTTTATGAATTGGAATTTTAAGTATGCAATCTATGAGTCATTGTTTCTATAATAGTGAATAATAGTTTCTGATCCTGTTTCCATAAGGATGGTTTCTTATCATTCTTTGCATCTTTCTCCCATATTAGGATGCATATGATTTCATAAATATATTGCTGCTATTTTAGTGAGATTTTTTGCTTTATGATCATTTTCAATGACTATGAGGGGTATACAAGATGTTTCAAGAAAAGGAGTTCTATTAGCACTTGGATCACGGCTTTTAGTGCTTAAACGGGATTGTTGTGGAGATATATCAATCTCTTGAACTTGCTTTCTTATTATAGATCGTGGGAATATTGGTGATGTTGTCAATTCTTTATTTGGGCTGAGAATTATCTCTTTTGACTGATTTCGCTTCCTCTTGCCTTCGCTGCAAAAATTCGGGGGTCGAAAAGTCAGGAAGATAGTTAGCTTTACCATTAATATGTTCAGTAGTGAATTCGAAAGCTGAGCGAATGCCTTGCCATTTAGCAAAGATTTGTTTTGAGACAAGATTTTGACATCTTTTCAAGGATATCCTTAGCTGCCTTACAATCAGTGCGGATAAGGAAACTTTGATTCAGTAGGTCACTTTGGAATTTAGTTACAAAATAAACAATAGCAAGGATTTCTTTTTTAACAGTAGAATAGTTTTATTGAGCCGGGTTCCATGTTTCTGAAGTAAATCGGACTAGCTCTTCTTGGTTATGAAGTTTTTGCTTAAGTATGCCACGCAGTCCTTGCTCAGAAGCATCGATC